GCAGGCACGAGGCAGCAAGAGCTGAGCCCAGAATAGTCCAGGCCGTTGGGGCCCCACATCTGAGCCCTGAGGCCTCTGCTACTCTGAGGCCCTGGAAGGCTCTGGGTGTGCAAGTGTAACCGTGTCTGCAACACGGGGGAGAGCCTGGACGCAGGGAGCACTCAGCAGAGCTCATGGTGGTCGTGACTATCCTGCCCCATCTCCTATGGAGCCACTTGCAGAGTGGATTGGAGGAGCCATAGCAGATAGGCCAGGCCAGCAGGAGGTTCTGCGGGCTTAGGGAGCAGGGGAGTTGGGGTGGCCAGGGAGGCCCGGCGCGGCTGCACACGTGCGCCACCTGGTGGCCAGTGGGGGCATGAGTCCTGTGCCTAAGCCACCTTCCCTGCAGAGGTGCGTCACACTCCTTTCATTTGATTATGTGTGTGTGTGTGTGTGTGTGTGTGCAGTATGTATTTAATCATTATTCATTTTGTATATATTTTCTCCTTGGTTGTAATCCCTGTGGATTTCCCACGCCCAACCCACCTATGTGCCATCACTACAGTCCCGTGCACCCTTCCCGTCTTCCCGCCCAGTTTTGATCCTATTCCCCTCTCCTCCCGCTTTAGAACCTCTCTGGCTTATAGTTGTTTGTTGATTTTCGTTTTTTACTTTACTTTACTTTTTTTTTCTGATCCCTTATACTCCTGCTATGATGAAACCACTCAGTATTTTTGTTTGTCTTTCAGCCTTTTCAAAGGAGCACATTGTTGCCCTGAACAAGTCAGGTTCCATTGGTAAGAGGGGAGCCTGCAGGTGGAGTGGGTAACTGGAGGTGCCTTCTACACCACTGTAGAAGCATTTGTCATCTCTTGTCAATAGCATACGCAGTTATTCCTTTAACCACCCGGCCTATTCCACACCTTCAATAGTAACATGCTGTGGGACTAGTACATATATCAGAATAAAAATTTCAAGAACAGATCCAAATATTTGATGCAATTTAATCATGTGATGAAGGTAACGTCTTCAATTAAATGAGTTAAAGTCATGAGCCATTCCATAAGTTATATACATGTATATGTACAATACACACACATATATAATTCATGGAATTATATATATATATATTTATGTTATAAATACACACACACACATATATAATTTCTCCCCATATAGGTGGAAAAATATGGCCACCCTTTCTCCATCTCTTGAATTTGGGCACCCCAGAAATCTGTGTTGATCAACAGAAATGCTGTTGACAAGTTCCAGAGTCTATGACTCAAAAGACCTTGAACTTGAGTTTTTCTCGAACCAAAAGAAACACCCAGCGGGCCCACAGAATAGTGAGGGGACAGCAGCTGCTGGGGGTTGTTGAAGCCTGGGCACTCCTGTTGCTGAGATCTGGGTGCGGCCCCAATCACTGGACCCAACTAGCTCAGCCTGCGGGGAGACTTGCAGCTGGGTGAGAGTGCGGAACAGCTAACGGCCAGGCACGGCGTGAATGCCCACTGCCAGGCCACTGACACTGTGGACAGAGGTGAACCAGGCGTCTGTTTAACCGAAAACAGCACTTCAATGCTGACATGGAAAGGTGTTCAGAGAACATTTTTAAGATGTATATGAGAATGTTCATGACCATGTGCAGCTTCAGCTGTCCACCAACAGGTAAATACACCTGTTCACACAGTGAAACAGAACCACCCAGGCCACGCAACACGGGAGCACACCTCCCGCGCCCCACCCCGTGCCCCCACGCCGCCAATGTCTTAACAACCCTCTTTTTGAGTCCTTTTCTGTCTTCCAAGTAAGTGCCTTAGGGAAATCTCTCCCTGGTGTTGGGGCTTCTTTCCTGTATAGGGGGATTCTGGGCTGCCACCCACTGGGTGGGGTGTGAGTGCCCAAGACCACACCAGACTACTCTATGGGGGCAGGAGTGGGGGGGGTAGGCTCAAGACCTGGGTGCCCCCCCACCTACAGTTCCTGCTTTACCTGGAAATACACCCCCCAACCCAGTTGGTTCCTTAATGCCCAGCTACATGTCAACTCCATTTCTTCTCTCATTTCTAGCTTGGGGGTTGTGTGCCGTGTGAGCTCAGTCTGCCATCTTGAAGTTCTTGGAGTCATGGAGGAAAAGCTCAGTCAGTCAGCACACTGGGATTTCTCCGAGGCCACTGTTGCTGGCTGTGTTCCCCAGGGGTTGGGGGCACCCCTTCTGCCTCACAGTGGGTCACCCCGGCCCTCCTCTGGGCCCAGTCAGAAGGCCAGAAACCGACTGGGCCTTGCTCCGCCCACCTGGCCAGCCCGTTGGGATGCTGTGCCTCTGGGCACGAGTCACTCGGGCAGCTTCCTGGGGAGCCCCATCCCACCCACATGCGCCTCTGTTTCCAGTCAGCCACCGCCCTCCCATTTCCTATGATTCACACCTGGTCCGGAGTCTTTTCCAATTCCCGGAACTATCCCAGGGTGGGGAGGGCTCAGTCATCAAGCTTATTTGGGCAAGTCTAACCTCTGACCCAAGGAGGAATTTGTTCCCAGTCTGTGGGGGACCCTCCCCTCTGGGGCGCCTCCAGGGACCTGGCACCCACGGGCCAGAATGCTGCCGGGCAGCTCCAGCTCCTGGCCCTGCACCTCATTCCAGCGTAATCCTCTGGAGCAAGACGGCAAGGCCGGCTCCGGACATGTGGCTGGTGTCTGAGGACCCCCCTAGCTGCTGGGCGCTCAGGCCCGGCCCTGCACAGGCCTGCCCCATCACCAGCACCAAGACGGGGCGTCCCGCCCTCTCTGGGCTGGGGCTCAGCTTCCCACTCTCTTCTGGAATGGACCGAGTCAAGAACCATGTTGGTGACCTTTGCATCCTTCTGGCAGCGGGAACAGCCACTCCCGCACCTCCCTGCAATCTGAGCCTGTCTGAGGAGTCTGCGAAGCCGGAAGGCAGATTCGAGGGGGCGTGGGGGTGGTGGCAGTGGGGAGCAGGGCAGAATACTTGGGGGCTCACCCGCCAGCCCTCTCAGGCCGAGTTTCCTCACCACTCAGCACTACTGCTACTTCTGAAACTGCCCCCCAACATTCAGCTCGTTTTCCTGAGGCGCTATGTTGCATCCGGCCCTGCTCCTCAGCCCACAGCCTGCTGGCCCGTGAGTGAATTCATGACCTGCTTTTTGCCAAAGGGTCTGGGTCAGTCTCTTGCTAAACAGGTGGAACATTTTCATCTTGAGGGACGTACTGGTGTGCAGAGAGCGGTCAGGGCACGGAGCCCAGCTGATGGGCAGGCAGGCAGGTGGTTCCACGACCCCGAAGCTAAGGCCAGGGCAGCACAGATGCCACGGAGGGGTAGAAACAGCCCAAACGCCTGTGTCCACCGATGGGCCAGTGGATATATCACAGCAACACTCCAGAGAAGCCTCCTCCTTCGGCCCAACACAACTCTGCCTGCAAAGCGGCAAAGTGCTGCCTCGGCCTGGCTGGGGCCGCACCAGCGTCCCCAGCTCTCCGCCCTCCCTCCCGGGGACTCAGCTGCTCAGTTCTCAGGGGCAGCCGAGGCTGCACCACGACAGGAGGCCATGAATGGGGGCCAGCAGCTTCGGGGGGCTCTGTGTCGGAGGCCCAGTGCTGCGGAGGGAGGGTGAGTCCATGGTCCTCGGGGACACGCCTGGAGCACTTGGAGGCCAGGGGACGGGGCGGTGGCGGGCGCGGCGGGAAAAGGGCCCGATGCAGAGCCTGGTTGGCTGTCTCGGGGCTCGTGAGCCCTTTGACTTCCTCCCAGAGCTCCTTCCTGGTGAGAAAGTGGGGTCTCCATTCACCAGAATGGGGGCGCAGGGGAGGAGCAGGCACATGACGGAGCCCTAAAGCCCAGCCAGACGGGCTGCCTGGCTCATCCCTGGCGTGAGGGAGGCACGTGAGGGAGGTGGGCTTCTTGTTATTTTCTTTGTGTAGAAGAACTGGGGTGTAGACCAGAGGTGAGAGGAGTCACCAGAGACTGAGTGGGGAGCAGAGCAGGCAGATCCCTGAAATACGCTGCTGAGGGGAGCAGTGGCGAGACAGAGAGGTCTGCTGAGTCCTGTGGGTCACTTCCTGGCCAGGGATCGAACTCATGCCACAGCGGTGACAGCCTGAGACTTAGCCTCTAGGCCACCGGGGCATCTCCCACTGTGGGATTCTTGGGCCGCTACCCTGCCCCAAACTGCTGGAGCCCAGATCTCACCTGTCTCGCCCTGGCCTCCCTTCCTGGAATTCAGCCTTAGTAAGACTTCGGGGATGTCCTGCAGTGTCCTGAAGAACTTTTTCTCACAAATACACACCAAGGAAGATGTCCCAGCCCCTGCCAGCCACCTCACCGCTCCCCCACGCCCACCCCACCGAGCCGGCTCTCACCCTCGCCGGCCAGACCCTGACCAGGAGACAGCCGAGGGTGGTCGTCCCATCTTTCGAGGGAGAAACTGGCCTCCAAATCTGAAACTATCTTTATTTGTAGTTGGCTCAACAGCAAGACGCCATCATCAACCAGCAGAATTACAAAACTGTACAGGAGGTACAAAAATAGGCCCTTTAACTTAATCACCCTCACATCATCGGGCTTTAAAAATACACATAAAAATTGTACAATCTGGCAGGTTATAAAATATAAAGCTAAAAAGAGGATTTTAGGTTCCACAGAGGATTGTATCACACAATCAACACATCCCCATTAAACAATTAACCGTCCACAGAAAAGACACAATGGCACAGAATTTTTTTTTTTAAAATCACTTAAAAATGAACGTTTTTACCCCGACCAAATGATTTGCCCTCTGGCGACACAGTGTGGCTGAGAGGCGTCCAGCCTGTGGGGGGACACGGTATTTTTCCAGTTTTGAAATGGTCAGGGGTGTTGTCCGAAATAAATCGGAGGTGCTTTAAGCGAGTGCAATTGTAACTGGATACACTTCGGAGTAGAAATTAAATAAATATAAATAGGTTCAATAAATAGGTTGTTGCAAAAAGAACACTACGTAAGGTTTGCTTGTGAGAATGCAGCAGAGTTGACCCATAATGCTTTCTAGGTAAGGGGGGCCCTGCCCCATCACAGCTTTCGGGACATGAGAAGGAAAACATTACCCGCACCACTCCCGGAGCGGGGGTCGCGGGGGACCTCGGCCCAGGGGCTGGTGAGGCTGCCCCAGACCTGCTCCCTGTGGTTCTGGGTGGAAAAGACCTAAGTGCAGACAGCGAAGAAGCCAGGGGTATGTGGTGAAGGAACGGGTGCGGCAGAGTAGGCACTGCTTGAAGGTGAAGATCTGCCCTGGGAGGCGGCATCTGGGCTCACCTGTCTGGAAATTCTGGCCTTCCTCCAGGGAAAGCCGATGCCAGGCCATCACCAAGGAGAGCGAGCAAGCGGGCAAGGAAATACAGAGATGAGAAGCCGGTGAGCAGAGACGGCTCCAGGCAGGCAGGCTGCTCTCCCCCGCTGCTCACACTCAGGACCTCACACTTCAGCCCCTAGATGTAGTGGTGACTTTGGCCAAATAATACCAGTGCTCCCCCAAAGTGCAACGCTGAGCCCTACTGACCAGAGGCGCTCTCTAAAACCAAAGTTACAAAGACTCGAGACAACCAGAGAAAACTCTGGCACTGGTGCCAAAGACAGATGCAACACGAGGTTTCACGAAATGAGTGAGCTTGGCATCTCTGAGAGGCGACGGAATTCTACCTTCACAACGACGACCACGAGCCCCTGGCAGGGGGAAGGCGCCACAGGGGGCCCTTGGCCCAGACTGAAGATCAAAGGGCCCAGGGGAGATGCCGGCACTGGCCAGACGCCCGCCCGGCCCTGCAGACAGGGAGGTGCAGGCCGGGGCACCCCGCGAGTCGGCAAAGCACCCGCTTTAAGACCGGAGAGGGCCGGCGCCCTGCCCGCCAGGGTCTCCTGCCGCGCGGAGATGCCCGGTTTACTCTCTCCACGCGCTCCCGGGAGCAGCCCGGCCCGTCTGGGTCACGGCTGTCCCAGCCCCGAGCATCTTGCTTTGGCTCAAATGCGAGGTGCCCCAACAAAACACAGCTTTAAAAGGATGAACGCGTGTGCGAAAGGCCGGCGGTCGGAAACGAGTATTAGAGGCATTTTTAAGAGGTCCAGAGGCAAGTGGGTCTAACGGGGAGGTGACACCAAACTGGGGAGCTGCTCACGCCCTGGCTGCGGGCCGGAGAGACGGTCAGTAGTGACAACGGGCGAGGCAGAGCCCTGGGCGGCGCAGGGGCGGGCGGCCCTGGAAGCCCCTCCCCGGGGGCCCCATCTCGGGCTCCCCCCAGACCGGGCCCGGCCCCCGCCCCCGTAGGCCAGCGCTGGGCCTTGCAGAGGGCGGGGCGGGACCATCGCCGTGCGCTGACCAGCGAGCAGGCGGCAGATCTCGCGGTGCCTGCGGGCTGCCAGGGCGCGGCTCGGCTGAGGTAACTGGTGAGGCGTAGGCCCGGGCTGAGGTGAAGCTGAGGTCTCCAAAGGCAGACGAGGGCGTGTGGTAAGCGTCCTACCCCGGCGCGCCAGGGAACCCTCACAAGAAGCCAGGGTGGCGTCTGCCGCCGGGAGACTCCAGTCGGGCGCGGCGTGGGTCCGCCAGGGCAGGACCGCGCCGAGCCGCCCACTGCGTGGGCAAGGTGGCCGCTCCCTGATGGCCGCCACTGAGGCGAGGCAGGGAGCTCAGAGTTAAATAGTGTGCTCTACAACTTCAGGGGGAGAAAAACCATCTGGCCTCACCGCACGAGAGACTGTTACTCTCAATCGCCGCTGCATCGAGAGCTGCTATGCTTTGCTGGTCGCACTAGAGAATGTTCTAGATCCGACCACGTTTTCTGGAGGGGTGAGTTTTTGGTATCACAAGAGAGCAGGTGGGTTGCGTTCCTCTTCACCAGTCAGCTGCAAGTCAAGCTCGGCTTACTCACACTAACGCAGCACTCTAAGGTGTGATCGAAGTGGGAAGTTATTAAAATCTAAGAAAAACCTAAGAGGCTGCCACCAGGCGCGCAGCGACCAGGCTCGGCTCCCGGGCTCAGGGGCTGCTCCCAGGGATGGAGGGGCCTCCCGGCCAACCCCCGCCCAGACTCTCCCCGGGTGGCCAGGAGCACCCCATTCGGCCCCCGCTCCGGTCCTGAGGGCCTGCCCTTGCTGGGTCTTAGCTGCTCTCCCGACAGCCAGGGAGCTCCTGACCTTACGCCTAGAAATGCTCCTGGATATCCCCCAATGGCCGGCAAAGGCCCGGGCACTGGGCCGCAGCTGCCCAGGACAGTGCGTCCTCTTCCTTCCTACCAGCGCTGCAGACCCAGGCGCCTTCTAGTGGGGGCTCTGGGCCCCGGGGACGCGCGGGTACAGTGACCTGGGACTCTGCCTCCACGCGCCCCCCTCTGCTCCGCAGGTCACCTCCCCCTCGGCGCCGGCCTCCAGGCACCCTTCTCGCCGAGGCTGCGCTGAGGTCAGTGGTGCCCATTCCGCACACAGGCCACTTAGGGTCTCGCTCTCCTGCTCAAAGGCCGACATCAAGCAGAAGGGCAGAAAGAAACTAAGTCTGAGGCAAGTGCGTCCAGAAGGCGGGGTGCCCCTTTCGCAGCCCCCACGATGGGCCCTCCTTTGCAGAGTCCCCCGGCTGGAAAGCTTGACACCAGCCTCTCCCCGGCTCCCTGCGGGTCAGGAGGGGTCACCCCCTCCATGTCCCGGTCAGCACCAGCCTCTGCTGGCAGCAGCGCGGGCAGCTCAAGGCACTTGCTCGGGAGCCGAGTCTCCCCGCCAGGCCGGGAGGGTCAGGCTGTGCTGGTCGACGACCAGGCCTTCAGGCTCGCTGGGGCCACCGGCCCAGAGGCCGCCGGGCTCAGAGGGCGTCTGGCGCCACTGGGGGCTGGAGCTCCGGAGGCTCGTGGCAGTAGTAGGGCTGGAAGAGTCTCTCGTGGGAGCACAGCTCCATGGCCCGGTAGGTGTGGGCCAGGAGGTGTGGGAAGCGCGAGGTGAAGTAGCGCACAAAGTCGTCGGGGAGCGAGCCCAGCGTCTCCCGCACCTCCACGGGGAGCTCTCGGTAGTGATGCTTCTGCAAGTGGGGGACACACAGAAGTAGGGGGTTAGCAGCTACAAGCCCCCCAAAGGCTGGCCAAAGGGCCTTTCATCACGCAGGAGGATGCAGTGTTAGTTGGCTCTCTGTAAAGAAAAGGAAGAAGTGGGGCGCCCAGCACTCGGCCCGCTCCCCTGCCTGCTTGCCTCATTCGGAGAGGCCTGAGCCAGGCCCCAGGCGGAAGAGCAGCAACCAGGCAGGGGATGGACTGGCCTCCTGTGGTGGCCGCGGCCCGGATTTCCGGCAGCCTCGAGGAGAACAGAGTTGCCTGGAACTGAACGGGCTCAGAAGCCTCGCCTGAGCTGGGGCCCTATTTAAAGTCCCTGTGCGTGGTGGCAGCACAGGCCAGGATGACCGCATACTCCTCCAGACAATAAGCGGGGTCCCTGCCCTGTGCCCCAGAAACCAGGCCCCATGTGGGAAGGTGCCAGGCGGCTCCTGTGAGAGGGAGCTGACACAGTGCTGTATCAGGGTGGGGGGCGGCGCCACGGAGGTGACCACAGAGGCCGCCTGAGAGCCGTCTCCAGAGCTGAGCGCCCCTCCCGCACCCCCGAAGAGAAAACCCAGTGACGGGAAGAGACTTTGTCAATTCCAGCTCAGGCCTCCGCGAGGACGGCACGCCCCTCGGAGAATGAGAAGGGACACTGGGGAGCCCCCACCCTGGCCCGTCCGCCGTCTCAGGACTCACCTTGTTTCTTATGGCTCGGAGGAGATCTCTGACGGAGCTGCCTTTATAGGTTCTAAATTTACGGAGATCTAGGAAAAAATAGGCAAGGAGACCCGTGTAACCAAAAAGAACAGTTCCTGGGTGCTGGGGGTCAGGCACTCAGACCGGAGCTGGGTCCCCACCCAGCACCGCCGGGGCCTGTGCCCAGACTGAGCCCGAACGCACGCCCAGAACCATAACCGGAGATAACCGGCACGCATGACCCCAGCCACTGAGCCGCCTCAGAGAGGTGAGGCGCACATGGGGCTGGGGGGTCCCGGTGCCAAGCAGACAGCCCCCCACGAGCAGCCTGGAGTCGCCACGGCCACTTCCGCTTCTCAGAAACAGCTGCTGCTTCTGAAACATTTCCGCCGCCCTTCACCCCCGGACTTCGGGGTCACCTGTCTGCAGGGGCACAGTGATGTTCTCCCTCCAGTCCATCTTCACCACGGCTCGCCCGCCTCGCTCCAGCTGCTTCACTATCGGGCCGTCCAGGGACTCCTTCTCTATCCGGTCACTCACGTCCTGTGAAGGCAATAAGGACAGCAGACGATGGTCAGCAGGTGGACACTGCAGGAGGGACACGCAGGTAGAACACTGGACACTGCTGCTGGGCCTCGGGCAGGGCAGGAGCCACTGGCCCTCGCCGCCCCGTGAGCGGGTGTCTGCTGCCCCCGGGGCGAGGCCCGCCAGAACGTGTCCGCCACAGGGACAGGCGTGCCACTGTGCCCACCCATGTGCATCTCACCCCTGCACACACACTGCGCACAGCTGCCCTGGGTGCACGAGACGGGCACCACACACGCCGGGTGCGTAACTGGCCTGGGTCACTTGCTTTGTCCTGTGTCCTTCCCGGCATTTTTGAAATCTGCAAAAAGTTAACTGAGGATCTGGCGAAAGAAGACAAACATCGCTACCTGGAAGAACTGCAGCTGCTTCTCCAGGCTCCAGAAGAAGGGGTGTTTCAGCACGTGCTTGGCGGAGGGGCGCTTCTGCGGGTCCGTGGCGATCATCCGCTCTATCAGCTCCCGGGCGATGACGTCTTCTGCTCGGGCGGGAGAGAGCGGGCGAGAGCTCGCTACGGCCGGCCTGGACCCCGGGGTGTCGACACGCCCCAGGCCGGGCAACCCGCGCGTCCTCTGACGCCAGAGCCCAGGGACAGCGACTCATCCAGTGTGACAAAGAGGAGCCGCCAATGAGGGGCACCCCCCGCCCCGTGGCCTGTGAGCGGGAGGGGCTGGAAGGGGCCTGGGTCACCCTCTGGACTGCGGCTGCCTGTGGAGGGTCTTCAGGATGAAGTTGGCGAGCAAGCGTGTTGCACAATCACCAGTGCTACTTAATCCTAGCAAAAGCGGGCGTGTGTCATTGATGCCGCGACACTGGTGGGGCGTCGGGCGTGTGTCATTGATGCCGTGACACTGGCGGGGCGTCGGGCGTGTGTCATTGATGCCGTGACACTGGCGGGGCGTCGGGCGTGTGTCATTGATGCCGTGACACTGGCGGGACGTCGTGCACAAGGCATGAGGCCCAGTCAGCCGCCGCTGTAGAACGGGGTATGCTTTGTCTGGCTAACCTGCTTTTTTTTGTTGTTTAGACAGGGAAGAAGGACAATTGATCTATGAGCAAAACAATAAGTCAGCTTCAGTCTTTTCAGAAGGCCACTCTGGGAAGGCCCGGGCCAACTCTGACAGGGAGCCGGGGTGGGAGGCCCCTGCGCCGGGGCGAGGCCGGCCGGGCACCCGTGCCAACGCGAGTCCGGTGTGTGCAACACTAACGTTCATGCTCCCCAGTGTCAGTGCAGAGGGAGCGCAGGTGATTGACTGACCCTTGCAAGTCTCAAGCCAGGAAGCAGAGGTCACAAAGGGGGTCCTGCCCCAGGGCACACAGGTGTTTGCGCCACCTGCAGGTACCGCACAGGGTTTCTGGGCTTTAGAAGGAGGCGCCTGGCCCCACCTGCCTGGGCCAAGCGGTCGACTCCCCGAGCCCGTGGGGTGAGCGGCTGGGGGGGTAGGACCTCTGGGCGCGCAGCACTGGCGGCTTCCAGCCTGCAGGGGCCACGCGGGAGCTGGGGGCCGCCCCTGAGCACCCCTCCCGGCCCCCCACCTCCACCCCGGCCCTGCAGCCCGCTCACCGTGCTTCTCGGGGTGCAAGCAGTCGAGGCCGTAGGCGCCCAACAGGATGTTGGCTTGCCGCTGCAGGGACTTGCCGAAAGGGTGGTTGCCCTCAGATATCACGTAGTAAAAGACGCAGCCCACGGAGAAGATGTCCACTGTGTAGGTCTGGAAAGACACGTGGGCGTGAGAGCCGGAGTGGCGGAGGCCAGCAGCCCCTCCCACCCTGAAAGGGGCCCAGGCTCAGCCATCTGGCGGCACCGGCCCTGCAGGAGCGACGCGGGAGTCAGGGTCACAGTGGGGAACAGGGGCTCCGAGCTCCGGGTTGGAGGCGTGGGCCCCACCCTTGCTGGCCGGAGCCCCCCACTTGCTCTGGGCCTCTGAGTCCCCGGATATAAAGTGAGGACAACCTCATGGGGCCACAGTGCAAATGAAACGCACTAGTACGTGTCACATGAGTGACCCCGTGGGGTCACATGAGTCCTCGTGGGCAGGAGTGTCTAAGCAGCTGCTTCCCACTGTGTCCCCAGGGCCCAGAATGGCGCCCGGACACGGCAGGTCTCGGCATTCTGTTAAATGAACAAGGCAGTCGGGGATCCCACACGGCCTTAGAAACCACTTGGCAAATCTCCGGTGAGGCGGCTTTTAATGTTAACTGCGAATGCCGCTCACTCGTCCCGTAAAGCCACTCAGCATCTCCCAATGAGCTTCTCTGGGGAAACGTGTATGGGGGATTTCTGGCCCCCGCAACTTGGTGCCCAGCATGGGGAGGCTGCCGGGCAGGGCTGGGGTCCCTGGAGCTGCGCGCCACTGCTTGGACTCTCCGCCCGTCGCCTTCCGCTCTGGAGAGGACGCGCCCTGAGCAACGCCACTAGGTCTCCCGGCAGCCCCAGGGTGGGGGAGCAGAGCAAATGTCACTGCCCCCCCGATGAAGACATGGACAGCAAGGTTTAGTGACCACAGGGGCCACAGGCAAACTAGGACAGGTCTTGGGGGGAGGTGTCTTCTGATCCCCAAACCTGACATCTTTACTCTTCCTCATCAGAATTTCCATAACGTGGGCGACAGGCTCAGGACGGGAGGGACACGCGGACCCCCAGCTCCTTCAGCTGCCCACTGCGCCACTCACCTCCCCAGGCGCTCACTGCTGGGGGGCTCCTGGCCTGCACACGGGCCTACTCCCCTCAGCTCAGTTTCGTGCTGTTCCAAACTTCCTGCTGCCACTTGTTCTTATTATTCAAATAAACCCTAAGTTGGTAAAACGAGTTTCCCAAAGCAGTTGCTGGGTGAGTAGAGGAAAAAAGCAAAAATCACCCACATTCGCCCCTTTGGTTCACTTGAACATGAGATGGCACGGGACATGCCAGCAGTGTTTGGGGTTCACATCAAGGATTTTTTTTAAAAGAAGTGGGACCCTCCAGTCCTGCGGAGGCCGGACTGAATTCGGGGGCTCCTACTCCAGAAGGTTCTGTAGCTCGCAACCAACTACGCTCACGACTCACGGGGTTTTCCTTGCAGTCTTCGCTCAGCATCTCGGGAGCAATCCAGCCTTCCGTGCCAGGCACCCCCGAGCGGCGGCTGAAGCTGTGCCTGCCCACCGCCAGCTTCTTGCAGAGGCCGAAGTCAGAGATCATGGCCTTGATGCGGCCGTGTGCGTTGGGCATGGAGAGGAGGATGTTGTGAGGCTTCAGGTCTCTGTGAACTAATCCAGCCTGCGGGTTAGTCTGACGCCGCCCCGGGACTAGCAGGCCTCCTCCTGCGCCCCCTGCACCCCGGCAGAACAGCTGCGGCTGCTAACCCTTCTGATTTCCAGCTGCACAAGATTCCACCTCAGATTCTTACCCAATTTGTCAAAAGGCGCCTCAAAGCCCCACTGCAAACTCACGATGCAGCGAAGACCCGGGCCACAGGCAAGGTCCCCCCACACCCCCCTGCCAAGGGACGCCGCTCACCTATGTTGAGGGAATGCAGGTGGGCCAGGCCGGAGGTGGTCTGCTGCAGCAAGGTGATGGGCTCCAGGTGGAGGTGGGCGAAGTCCTTCTGCTCCACGTACTGCAAGAGACACGAGGGTCACGCGCCGGCCGCAGGCCTGAGGCCTCGGCACACTCGGAGCCTTTTAAAAAGAGATTCCACGGGCCCTCCCTGGTGGCGCAGCGGGTTGAAGCACAGCACTGAGAATCTAAAGCCGCTTCCGCATGAGCTCGATTCCCGCCTGTCCCGGAGGTGACCACATGGCGCGGCAGACCTCTCCTGACCCGCCCGCTGCTCCCCTCAGCAGTGTACTTCGTCAATCTGCCTGTTCTGCTCCCCACTCTGTCTCTGGTGAAGCCTCTCACCGCCCCTGAGCCTCTGGCCTGTACCCCAGTTCTGTATGAATAAATAAATAAATCTTAAAAAAAAAAAAAAAGAGATTCCACGTAACCTAGAAGCCTCCTGCCTGGACTTTCTGTTTGACTCATTCAGGTGCTGGGCAGCGCCTTTTCTTTGGTCACATTGTTAAAAAGAAATGGGCAGCTTTACTGGCCACTCTGTCCGGAGCTGCATTTTCCAGCAGACTTTCTCTGAAATCACAGGTGCCTTAGCCAAGCAAAGCTCCAGCTGGTTGGTCCACACTGAGGGAGCTGAGAGGACTAGAGGAAAGCCCACTGCCTCGCACAGGAACACCGACAAGGGCAGTCAGGGGACACTGAAAGACCGCTGCCTGTACAGCGCCGTGACTCCAGCAGCGGTCACTGGACACAGACAAGCGCGCAGGCCGCTGCCTGGGCCGGCGGCCGGGGCAGGAGCTGCGGAGCGGCACAGCCGTGGGCCCACCTCCTGCAGGGTGGCCGCGCACAGCTCGATGGCGATGTACTGGAACTGCCGGTCCTTCTCCGTGCAGAAGTACCGGATCACGTTCGGGTGCTCGTCGGATTCTCGCAGCAGCTGCACCTCGCGGTCGGCGAAACTGAAGCACTCGGGGAGGATCCTCTTGACGGCAACGTCTCGGTTGTCAAACATGCCCCTGCAGGGCAAGGAGCGGGCTGGGCTTGGAGTGCCAGGCGGACACTAGGGAGTCCCCGGGGCACCCCAAGGGGCAGCGGGCACAAGCCCGGGCGTGGCAGTGCGCAGCTCATCAGCCCATGGCCCAGGGGGCCCTCCGTGGTCATCACTCCCCTCCCCAGGCTGAACTCTCCCACCGTGGTGGCCACTGTGCCACGCTGTGCCCCGGAGCCGCCCGCCACCTGCAAGCCAAGCGGCGCTGCAGGGAACCACTCACCGGTACACAATTGTGCCCTCAGCGCCATGGCCCAGGACGTCCTTGGGACAGAATGAAATTTTCCCAACCAGCACCATGCTGGTTTCTTCATCTGGGACAAAATGAGGGAAAGAGGCCGTTACAAACACAGCTAAACTGCAGGGCTTGGAGGCATTTGGGCCTCAAGCCAGCTTCCTGGACTGCAGCTGAGGTGGGATTTCAGCAGCGGTGGCCCCAGGACCTGCCCACTCACACCCAGCCTGGGCCCTGCCCTCTGCTCCTGACTTGGCGTCACTGCAAGGCTGCATGCTGAGGTCCGTCCCACAGACAGGGTTCCTCCAGAGAGCCCCCTGGAAGACGTGCACCTGGGAGGCCCAGCGGGTGGACGTGTGAAACAGAAAACACCAGGAGCCAAGCTGGAGACTGGGCCCTCAAGGCCCCCGGCACTGGTTCTGCACAAGTCCATCAGAATGCTGGCCAATGACCACCTGACCCAACTTCCAGAGGACGGGGACTCCGCAGTGACATGTTTAAGTGTGGCCCCTGGTCAGTCACGTGGCCCAGCCCTGCGGAGCCAGGTGGCGGGAGGGTCCATGAGGCCCTTGTGGAGGAAGCGGGGGTGGGGGGGACTAGGGGGGAGTTGGGCGCCACGTGGTGGACATTTGCAAAGGCACTTATCAGAGACTCCCAGGAGGCCATGGCGGGCACCCCGCAGCTCTTGGCTCGTGTTCAAGTGCAAGAGAAGACAGGCCAGCACGGCAACTCGCTTTACCCTCGTCGTCCTGCTCCAGGGAGGGGCTGGCACTGGCCCTGGAGGCCGAGCTGCTGGAGCGGGGCGAGTGGTTGGAGGCTCTGGGCGAGGTGTTGGGGCTGCTGGTGGCCGAGCTCTCCGAGTAGAGGCCCGACGACGAGTCCAGGAGCTCGGCATCCGGAGCCAGGTCTCCAGGGGGGTGGAAGGGCAGCTGCTGCTGTTGCAGGAGCTGGATTTTCTCCAGTTCCTTCTGGAACCGCTGCTGATGATGCATGCTCTGCGAAGGGAGACAGGTGCAGCTGAGTGCCCTCCCCGGAGGCCTGGCCAGCAGGTGAGGCTCCCGGGGAGGGGGGAAGGGGGGCAGGAGACCAGCGGCAAGGCCCAGGGGGCGGAATCTACTGGCCACTTATGCCAGTCAGACCCTCCCCAAATGCCACTCCCCTCGCTGGAGGCCCAGCAGAGAGGGACTCTGCCCCAGGGGAGGCCTCCCAGAGGGCAGGGGTGAATTTTAAAATTCTCAGACTTTTATGAAAGTCTGGAGTTGCTGCAAGAGTGTAAACAAACAGGAAGGCGAGCGTGGTGGGGGAGGGCAAGGCCGGGCTTTGCGCCTATTATGGTTATGAACACGGGGGAGGGGGGCGATGGGGCACAGAGCCTGGAGGCCGCACAGCCAGGATGGGGCAGAGGGGCCAAAGACGTCAGCAGCCCAGGCCCCGCGCCCCAGCCCGTTTCGTGGTGCCGCGCTCCCACACCCCACGCTCCCCTCCTGTGTTCTGAAAAGCTCGTTCCACCACGCCCTGAAGCAGCAGCCATCTGTGGCCACCACGACCGACCGATGTGTGGGAGCTGACCAAGGAGCTGGTCACCTGAGTTTTCCAGCCGCCCCCTCCCTCTCTCTTGGGCTGAGCCCCTGGCAGTGCCCCCTACTGGCTGAGTGACTTTGGGGAAGTTATTTGCCTCCCTGGAGTGTAGTTTCTTCATTAGGGGGCTGGGGGCCAACAGGGGTGACCCCACAGGACACAGGACCACATGAGGTGAAACAAGACAGAGCAGGCGGACACGTTTCCCCAGGCGCCAAGTGCTGTGGGGTGCGCTGCCTGTTCTTTGGGGGTCTGAGCTCCCGGTCTCAGTCCTCTAGAATATTCTGTGCCACACCTGAGCCAGCAAACTGCATAGCCTGCGCTCACTTATTTCCGGCTAGAAAGTCGAAAGAATTAACTACTGAGCTGCCGTTTCCACTCCAGCGGACGTCCAGACAGGCAGTTTTTAAGGCAGGGAAGTAAAGCAGTGTTCCCCTGCAATGCTCATTCTTAAAAAGAAAATATGGTTAAGCACTCAAAGACTGTGCCAGTGAGGGCTGCATGCCGGTTTTTACAGTCGGTTAACTGCGTCCCAGGGAAGTGGGCGTCCATTTAGCTCTAGCATTTCTGAAGAGAAGCAAATATTGACTTAAGTGGGCAGAGAAACTTTCTGCCCGCCCGCTGACATCAGCCACTTGCACGCAGGGCGGGAGGGCCCGGCTTACCAGGGGGTAGGTGATGAAGGCCACCCAGCCGATGAGCAGGAAGGTGCTCAGGATGATGGTGGCAATGTCCTTGAGCATGGAGTCCACGGGGGCCTCGGGCTTGGCGGGGGCGTGAGAGAACTTCTCCTCCACGTCTTGAGAAACGGTGGTAGGTGTGTTCTCTGAGGTCTGGCTAACCAGGTCGATGACCTGGGGAGGGGAGAGGGACGCATCACTGTACAATTTCTCGCCAGACATGAACCAGCCCGACACTCGAGACAAGGGCCACCATCGCGAGGGGGTGACCACTTGAAATGTGAGGGGGCAGCACTGGAAAAGGCGCTGGTGTCCTCTAAGCTCGTCATGGCACAGGCAGGTGACAGTGGCCTTTTTCCAAAGCAGTGGCTTCGAGGGCCGGGCCCTGCCGTGGTAACGTGGCTGTCACCCAAAGCAGTCTTCAGAGCAACGCTTTCGGAAGCACCGTCAGATGCTACCTTCTTCGAAATTTCTCAGTGGAGGCGGAAATGGCCTCCTCTGAGGACAGGTTTGACACCTGCGGAGACTCAGATTACTGCAGAAGAGTCTTCGGTTATTGCAAAAGGCCAGTGGCCAGTGCCCACTTGGGGGTGCTGTTCCACGGCAGGTACACATGCGTGGCCAGAAAGCAGCCAACTCTGGGCTGCCGGTCAACTCCAAGAAGGCAGAGCTCCTTCCTTCCCACGCCAGGCCAACGTCCAGGTGTCTCCAAGAACAAGGCCGCAGGATGCTAAGAGAACCCCTGGGCGGGTCCCCCTCTGTGTGACTCCCTCTGAGGCTCCCCGCAAGTTATCCTAATCTGTCTCCTGCCGAGACCCTGACAGGCTCACTCTACTGCCCAGGGCTGCAGGCGGCGTCCAGGCCGGAGCTCTCCAGCAGCCCCACCTGGGCACCCCCCTGCGGCCCCTGCTCCAGGCGCCCTGCCTGGGCGGGCGTGTGCAGCAGCCGAGTCAGCACGTCTCCTAGGCTGCTCCTGGCTGCACAACACCCCGGCCCCCACCTCTACGTCAGGCGAGCTCAGGGCCCAGCCACGCGGCGCCTGTGCGGCCACGTGCTCCCTACCTGGCGGCCTCGGGTCTGCCCCGCCCGTCTCCTCGGCTGCCCGTGCCCACCTGCGGGCCCTTTCCACGTGTCCTCTTCCTTCCGGCGGCCTCTGCCTCTCTCCCCTCAGGACGAGCCCCACCTTCAGGTCCTCCTGGCTTCCCCTGCCTCCCTTCATCCTTTCCGGGAGGTCTTTTGCCTCCGATTCCCTGGTGAGCTTCTCCCCCAGCTGAGCTCGCCAGGCAGAGGCCACATCTTCTCCCCACTCACCTCCTCGAAGCTCTTTTTCTCTGAGTCCGCCGGAATCACGTTTTCCCGATGCTTGGGCAGATTGTTGGGGAACCACTCCAGCATCTTGGTGGACGCAGACAGCGGGGTTTCGTGGTGTCCTGCGAGAGGAGAAGCCTCTGATAGAACCGTGTCCCAGGCCGTCCCCCACGGGAAACTGAGGCAGCAGCCCCACCGCGCTGAGGGCTCCGGGCCACGCCACGCTCAGAGAGCCAGGGAGGGTTTCTCTACTCCGCGGTGGCGCATGTCCTGAACCTCACAGCCAGGAGGGCTGTGGCTGTTCGGGTCTGCTCAGAGCAAGTCTTGTGTGGAGAAGTCCGAGTTTAGGGTGCGCACGGCCAAAGCGCTATGGCGCGCCAGTAAAAGCCACAGGAATCCACCCTGAGTGCGCCCCCACTAACCGGCCCCCACGCCGGGGCTACCACTCGAGGCTCGCTGACCGCGATCTCTGCCCAGGAGGTGACCCCTGCGGGCGCGGAGGCCTGCTGGGTGGACAGGGTCAGAGTTGCGACGTCCTGACCAGTGTCCTCATGCGCATCGAGCACCACGTGTGCAGACCACCAGGAGAGACAAAAGTGAGTACAGCAAGGAACTGGGTCTGACCAGCGGACGGCCTGGTTAGCTCCAGAGCCAGACGCCTCAGACGCCTCCTTCCTCTCGAAGGTCGAGCTCAGAGGCCACTCGGGCTGCCCGTGTCTCCACCTGGGAACTGCTCCGAGTCCCGACCGTTAGTCAGTGCTCTAGCAACAAGATCCCGTTGTTCCAGGACACCTGTTTCGTTCTGAGCCACGACCAGCTGCCCGGCCGGCCGGGAGGACTCCGAGACCGGCTCTGCAGTCAGACCCTGACTCACTGGTGCGGAGGGCTGGACGCTGGGTTCGTCCAGTGGCAGCTCCTGCCCATGAGCAAAGCTCGCTAACCCAGAGCCCTTTGCTCCAAGAGAAGTCAGGCTGCCTTCCCAAGTGCCACCTCACTGCTGTGCAGGCCCGGCCCAGGGCCTGAGAGCAGCACACAGGTTTGCTCCAGGCCGGGCCCCACCAACACCACGGCGGAGGTGAGCGGCCCGAGCCCCTGCTGCCCCCACAGGTCTCACATAGGGGGTCCCCCACAGCCAGGCCTCCAGCCACATCAGGCGCACAGTCCAAGCCAACTGCTCTACAAACCGGATCACGAGACACCGACACATTTTTGTACAAACTGTACCCCGTCTTGGAGAACTGTCTATCGCGTCACGTCCAGCCTCTGGAGCTGCCTCTGGAGCTAGGCCCTGCCTAGCACACCCCAGTGCATACAGGGCCCTGCTCTGGGGCAACCCCCGGTGGTGCCACCCAAGCTAAGTGGACTCATTTTACTTTGCAGATGCACGCAGAGGTGGGGCTACCCGCGCAGTCCCCTACAAAAGCCAGGCCCGGGGACACACCCCGCTCCGAGGCCCCGTCGGCCAAGGGCTGTCAAGCGGTTCCACTGCCTTGCTCAGACACGACTGCTTCTGGAATCCTCAGGGAATTTCCCCACGTTTTATATGCATTTCTGCAGTTTCCAATAACTTCTCCACGCCGCAGGCCTCGGAGGCAGTGTGTGTATGGCCGAGCGCGCAGCAGGCTTGTCTTTCCAGCGGCCTCTGCTTCTCAGTTCGTCCTCTCCTGACCACGGCCCATTCAGACATGCTTTCCGAAGGACTTCTGGAGTTCAAGAAGGGTGGGGTGACTTATCATCTCCTCCACCCATTATTTGGTGGAAACCATAACCAAAGGAAAAGCGGTGACAAGCAGTCAGGATGGACAAAGAAGAAACAGCCCTGGACAAGCACGGCGGAGTGACCGGGGCTGGCAGGCCCCTGCCAGGCTGCTGCTGCGGCCCGAGCCCACCCTCGCCAGGCAGCACCACTTCCCTTTCCAACAGCTCTGCCCTGCACCAGCCAGTGAAAAGGGGAGCGGAAACCTCATCAGCCCCCACACCCCGCCACGCCCACTCTCCTCTCCTGCCCACTCCAGGCTGCACCCCCCCCCCCACAGTGGGGCGAGGGCACCGGAGGGGCAAGTCAAGTGCGCCCTGCCCCAGTTACTCGGGGCTCTTGCCAGACTCTGTCCTCTCACGCGCTCTGCCCGTTTGCCACACTCTCTGCCTTCCGGTGTCATCTCCACTTCTTATCTCTCTGGCTGACAGGCCCCCCGCTCGAGCCCGGGGCCGTCGGCGGTGTCAGCAATGATGGAGAGCGGACGAGAAGGGGCCCCGTATAACCCGACCTGTGCCCAGGGTTCGCCTGGCTCCTGGACCCAGGTCCAGCTCTGCCTTTCACCACTCTCAACCCTCCTGGGCTCCCCAGCCCCCCGCAAAGCTCCATGTGAGTTCCGCCATGGAAGTGGCCACTTCTGCCTAGCTAGACACGGAAAGAACAGGCGGCTGCGCGGACAGGCCCGGGCCGAGCGCTACGAGGGGTTAGTGCCCTCTGCACACAGACCGGCAGGCTTCACGCTCCTTGTGATCACGAGTCTGGTGGTGACGGAGCTTGGTGCCGATCAGACTCGCTGCCTTGCTCGGATTTACATTTCTCAGTTTTGTAAATATCTTATACACGAACTGTGACTGTCTGGAAAGTTTGCAATGTCTATTAAAAGGCTCAGAAATTTTAAAAATGTAGATAAGAAATAGAAAAGGCTTATTACTGCCTAAGCCGCTAATACACATGCAACGTGCCAGCCGATCACACAGAGTTCACATTATTTAGTACTTGAGATTGGGAACACTAAACGCTTTTTGAGAATTGCCTTGGTGACACGTGTTTACACTGTTCATTTTCCCTGGGGGTGAGAATGTTCCCACTTAGTGTCCAACCCGCACAGCACAGCGCTGGGCAGACGGCACCGGCAAGGCCACCCTCCGCCGCCAGGGGGCAGGACGCGGGTCCCCGGGACAAACACTCACCTATCAGAAGCCAGTAGTTCCTCAGGTAGTTGAGCTTGTTCTTCCCTTTGAGCCCAGGGTCAAACTTGAGGTCTGTGCTGGGCGTGATCACACACTCGCCTTTGTCCCCAATGGTGACGCCGTCTGTCTGGGGGCCTTCCAGCAAAGGAAGGGTGCTGCCTCGGGGCTGCGAAGACAGAACGGGGTGAGGCCTGGGGCCCGGGATCTTCCTGCCCCCTGCCCAGACGGGCCTGCTGAACCTTGCGTGGGGCTGGCCGAGCACCCAGAGCAAGACACAAAGGCCCTAAGCCTGGGGGAGACCGCCCGCCCAGGGGCGGGACCCTGCCTTTCACGCGCTCATCTTTTAAAATGATGCAGTCTGGGAGGTGGGAAGTAGGAAGGGTGTGTGTGCAATTCCAAGCGGCTACTGCGAGAAGCTGCCTTAAATGAGGGGCTGCCAGGGGCTGGGCTGCAGGGAGCTCCAGCCGGGGGCTGGCGCATGGCCAGGGCAACCTCCCAGGAAGACGCCGCCCAGCTCACGGGAGCAGCCGCCAGACCCTGGAGACCAGAGATGCCCACGGGACAGTTCAGGCGCTGTAAGGGCCAGATCAGCGGCCATAATCACGGTGCCTGGCGTGCACAGAGACAGCGGCCTGGGGCGGGCGGAGGCCGGGGCAGGCAGGCAGGTGAGGGAGGGCCGAGGGACCAGGGCAGGCGTTTGAAGGGTCAGGCACAGCCCGAACAAAGACCAAAAAGGATGAACAGGGAGCATTTGGAAATCGGGGAAAAGATGCCTTTGGTGAGACAGGCACCTCCCAAGAGCCGGGTGGAGAAGGGGACTATGGGACGGGCTGTGGGGGTTGGGGACCGAGGCTGAACCTCAGCTGGGCATCGCAGACCGAACAAGAAAGGACAGACTAACCTGCCGGCCTCAGCTCACAGAGCTGCGTCTGCTACGCCTCTCTCCTTACACTGCAGCACGTGGCACAAATAGAAACTGGTTTTCTACACAGCCGGTGGGATGTTTATACGCCATTCACACTCGCTAGCTGCCATGATGGCACAGGGGCAGTTGGGAGCTGCCTCTCCCCCACCCCGGGGCCCCAGGGTGCTCACCACCACGGCGACTCCCTCATGCACCATGGAGGGGGAGGCGTAGAGGCTGGTGGAGTATTTGCCAACATACAGGGTGGGCCTACGAGGAAAACAGACACAGCATTCCACGGTCATTTGATTCCTGGATCCCACAAAAGGAGGCTTCAGAGAGAGAAATATTTAGAAAACAGGCGAGCCCCCCCGGGGGAGCAGTGAGAATGTGGGGGCAAGGCCAGTGCCCGGGAGCCAGGAGGGCCCAGCTGTCCTCCCTGGCCAGGCGCAGAGTTGCCTCAGGCCTCAGCTCCCTCACATGCACCAGCCATCACCAGGATGACCTGCAAGGCCACGGGCAGCCACCATCCAGGAGAGACCAAGTGCTGGCGGCCGCCACCAAGCTGAGATGGCCAGGATGACCTGCAAGGCCACGGGCAGCCACCATCCAGGAGAGACCAAGTGCTGGCGGCCGCCACCAAGCTGAGATGGCCAGGATGACCTGCAAGGCCACGGGCAGCCACCATCCAGGAGAGACCAAGTGCTGGCGGCCACCACCAAGCTGAGACAGCCCTGACCAGAACCCGGCATCCTGTCTTGGGATACAGAACCTTGTACAGATGCCACAGAAGAAAGCGGTCGGAGGGCTCCCCCTGGTGGCGCAACCGGTTAAAGCGCAGCACCATGAAGCGAGATGCAGCCACTGCAGCTCTAGCTCCTGCCAGGGAGCTGCCCCCCATGGCACCGCAGACCTCTCCTGACCCGCCCGCTGCGCCCCTCAGCAGTGTATTTCAGTGAATCTGCCTGTTTTGCTCCCCACTCTGTCTCCGGTGAATCCTCTCACCCCCTCTCTCCACACCCCTGGCCTGTATCCCAGTTCTCGTATGCATAAATAAATCTTTTCTTAAAAAAAGAAAGAAGTGGTTAACTACTGCAATCTATTTGGCCAAAGCAAAGGTGCACAAGAAATCCCAAAATCGAGTGCGGCCTCTGGACCCTGCCTGGGGACCAGAAGGGGGGGGAGGCAGCTCCGTCAGTGGTTCAGTGTGAGAACGTGGCTTCAGAGACGTGTGCTGGGGCCCCGGCCACGCCTGCCACCCTGCAGGGACGGCAGCCAGGCCACGCTGCCCGCCCGCACCCAGGCCCTGACTCACGTCAGCTTGCTCTTGGCCTCTGTCTCCTGGGGGAAGGGGTACTTCCACTTGGTGATGCGCCCCACCTCCCCCGACATGAAGGTCAGGTAGCGCAGGGTCTCCACGGCCACGTTGGTGTGCGTCACCTTCCGCAGTCCCTCCCGCTGCCACACGTAAAAGGCCACCACGGGCGAGGCGTAGTTCTGGATCCACAGGACGTCCCCGGATTCACTGTCCACCGTCACCACCAGCCCGTCGCCATTGGACACGAAGTGGGACATCTCTGCACAGATCAGAGAAGCGGCGCCTGAGCCTCTCCCCAGCGACCACATCCTCCACTCTGGGCAGCTAGACTTCTGGAGTGTCCTGGGCCCCTCCGAACAGCTTCACTTGTCCCCCAAGGAACTCGCCGGGCGCGACTGTATGAAGACAGCGTGTGCGCTGCTTTGCGGACGTAAGAGAGCCCTGTCCACGGCAACTGACCCGGGACATCTCAGCGTTCCACTGTTAGTGAGCACAGATGCTGAGGAGGAAGGAGCCAGCGAAGACGCCGGGGGTTTGGCAGCCACGGCCATCACCTCGAGCCCGCCCACTGACCACACGCTGCCCTCGCCAGGCCACAGAGGAGCACCCAGGGACAAAGGACAGGCAGAAGGACCTTCAGAGGCTCGTGTCGAGATGGCGAAACGGGTCTGAGGTTTCGTCTTGAGATCAGGGAACCTTTACTAGAGGGCTAAGTAGGGGACACAGGTTCAGGGAGCGGGCGGCTGCTGTTTCGTCCTGCTCCTCACGGAGTCTAGTACATCCCCTGTGACACAGACGGACGCCACCAGGCGGCCCTCTGCCTGTCAGGCTTGGGGTCCCCTCCACACTTCCCCGCCAGGCCCCTCGTTCCACTCTGACTGCTGGGTCCTTACTGGAAGTCCAGAACCTGGTGCCCAAGCTGTGGGAAGGGACAAGCAGCTCCCTGCGGTGGCCGCGCGGCTGTGCCTGGGCACTCACTGTAGTCCACGTCGTCCTGGGGCAGCGAGGCCGCGTAGTCGAAGTAGGTGGCGTTCCAGTGCAGCTCTCGGGTCTTGGTGTCGTACATGGTGATGGTGTACTCTGCAGAGCACGCGCCCCGTTACCCCGCGGCCCACGGCAGACAAGCCTTCCCTGCGCGGCGCGCCAAGCCCGCGTGGGCGGAGGCAGGTCACAGGGAGGAGTGGGCCCCAGCACGGGAGTGAGGCCGGCCGGCGGCTGTGCCCTGGAACTCGGGCTCCGGAGGTCGTGAGCAAGGTCACGGTGTGTGTGAAGTCGCTTGACCTGGGGTGGCTTCTGGTATTAGCAGTAGATAGCGACTAGCACCTAGAAGTGGGGTGGTGCCGTGACAGAAACCCACAACCCGGAGAGCAGCCTTGGGGCCCAGGTGACTGATGGAGGTGAGAGGTCGAGGGGGCGGGAAGAGCGGTCATTAGGGAGATGCCGGGGGTAGTGGCCAGTGGCCTGGAGAACAGCACCTCCCGCACCCGGCCCTGACGAAGGGGCTGAGAGGTGCCTCTTAAAACGCCAGACAAAGGAGCTGAAGAAGAAGCGTTCACTGTTCTAGCAGAATACAGCAGACACATGGAGGGTCCGGGCCTGCCTCTGTGGCTGGAAACGGTTCTCAGTGTACAAACTAAGAAGGCAGAAGCGCCCATAAGTCAACGTCGGGGTCAGGATGAAACGAGGGGGGTGCGAGACCTTTTTGGGTCCTCAGCTGCAGGTGTTACTGCACTCGCCTCGCTGCGGGCACACAGACCCACCACACCAAGGTTGTACAAAAAGCTGCTCTCTGGGAAGGTCTAAGTGAGGGAAATGAAATGGGGGAGGAGGAGGGAGAGAGTAGCTGCGTGGGGCTCTGGGGCACTGGGACCCACAGGGTCTTCTGAAGCGAACAGTGTGGCAACACCTGCCTTTGGAGAAGGCGCTCTGGCCACCTGCTAGAAGATGAAGCCCAGAGGCAGACGCGGGGGTCCGGGGAGGCTACTTCAGGTCCTTTTATGGACACAGGTGTGTCATAGACCGCAGGAGGCTCCCCCTTACCTGTGCGCCCGAGATACAGAAGAGAGGTGGATGGGCAGAGACTGTCTGCAAAGGCCGACGACAGCGTCTGCTGCTTCTCCCCCGTCAGCAGGTCGATGACATACCAGATGTCCTGCTTTTTACCTGAAAGGACACACACACAGCGTGTCGCTGCCCCTCGTTCTGGATGACACCCCCGTTGCCAAGCCAGCACGACGCGCCCGGCAGCCTGTCGCCCCGGGGTGTGGAGCCCACACGTGGACCGCCGAGGCGGAGGGGCATGCGCTGTGGTGAACCCCGGGCCGCGGGGACTCACGGAGCTGAACAACCAAGTCCCGGCAGGTTCTACGGACCCAACAGGCTAGTAACTCTCAGACGTCACTGCTCTGATAGTGGCCTTTCCCAGAGCCCAGGCTCGGGGTCGCCACCATCTCAGCCGCCTTCCTAGCCGGCCCACGTGTAAGGAGGAGCCTCAGTCCCCTGGTAATGACAAGTAGCTGGTGCCTGGGCCCGGGCGGTGGTGCTGGCTGCCGGCTGGTGTAAATGAGACCAAAGTAATCTCAGTCCCTGGCGCGGGCCGCACCCCTCACCATGCTGAGCATAACAGGTGGAGAGCGCGGCAGCTACCGGGAGAAGCCTGTGCATCTGGGCACCAGCCTCAGAGCGGCTCGGAGACCGTGCGCGGGCAGCCCGGCGCCCCCTGCCCGCGACCCGGGCTCCCGTGCCACACGTCTGTGCAGCAGGTGGGGCCTCTGCTCGCTGTGTCTCCACGTATTGGCCCAAGTCTCCTATTTCAAGGGAGGCTCTTGGAGCAGAGCACACGTGCAGACATGAAGACCACAGGGCACCAGACCCGGCCTGCACGACCCTCGGATCTAAAAGACGAGGCCCCTTCGCCCCAGAGGAGTCCTGGCCCGGCTGGGGACTCTGTCTCAGTGCCAACATCTTCATATGAAAAGGATCTGCCAGCAGCTGTGACGTCCCTGTCTGTGCAGCAGGCTCGCTCGCCCAGTTACTCCCAGGAGCACCCCAGCCACAGAGCCCCGCTGCCTCATGAGCGGGCAGGCTGGGCAGTCACCCGTCGTCAGTGTCCTGTGAGCTCTCAGGACGATGGGAGCGCAGCACCTTACACACCGCGTAAGCGAAGGCACGGCCACAGCAGGGACCCAGGCAACAGGAAGCGAGAGGGCAGGTGCGACCGTGTCCTCGGGATCCCGGGGCAGAGGCTTCCTGGTCTACAAAGGTGTGGCAGGAAGCAAGCGCCCCAGCGTCCTGAGCACAAACTAAACCCCCCCCACCCCTCCTTCCCTACCCCCCATCCCCCGTTCTCCTGGAGGCCCAGAGACACATGAAATCCCTGAGGCACGAACTGGCACTAAGCACTTTCAGTTCCTCGGAAAGCAGGCTGCTGTGCAAATCCAGGGTACTGTTACCACTGTGCACTCAAGGTAAATGCAGCTCTCCTGTGTGTTACAAATGGACTTTATTGACATTTTGGCAGCAACATGGTCAAAGAAAGGCAGGTGATCTGATGCTTTGAAAGATGTGACCCCAACCAGGTATGAAGGCAGCTTATCTAGCAAGCTGTTAAGTGCTGTTTCTAGCCAATGTTCAGGGGGCAGGAAATACTAAGAAAGCCCCGTAATTAATGGGCAGAGTAATTTCCCTTTCTTGGCTCAGATGATTATATCACTTTAGATTGCATCCAATTGCTTTCCGGGTATGTTGCAATCTTTAAATCGCAGGGGGAGGTCAGTATGGCAGCGAAAAGCTTGTTGAATGAGGAGCCGTTTTAACAGTGTCACCTCTGTTCCCAAGTGGGGGAACCCTCTCTGAATTGGTCAGCTGATCCTGATGGGAACAAGCACAGCCCAGGCGCATTAGACCTTTTCTCAAGGGCAGGCAAGAGGGTGAAGGCACTCTCTCCCCCACTCCCCACCTGCCCAGATTCTGGGGCTCATTTCCAAAGGCAGCCACGGTTCCCAGGTGAGAAGAGAAGTGCTAACCCATGTAGAGAATTCCATCTGAACTCCGGCAGGGGGATGCCTGGACCAGCTCTGGGATGGTAAAGGGCAGTTTCTTAAAAAAAAAAAAAAAAAAAAGGCAAAGTTAGGAATAAATAAGTTAAGCAATTAATGCAGTCTTACTGCACAATCTGTGTCTGCTGATAAAAAGAGACAAGCATTGTTGATGGTAGAGGAGAGTTTTCCTAACTGGAAACTGAGAAGAAAGGATACCCCGACTTCCGCACCCACTTCAGACAGGCCCTTGCCTTCGCTCCAAGCCCCTCAAGGTCTCCGGGCCTCTTGTCCTGATAGCTTCCTGGGCCAGGAGGGAGTGGACGGTGGGGGTTGGGGTGGCCACTCCTATGGAGTTATACCAGCTTTAAAATTCGAAGGGAGGAGACAGACTATTGATTTAATAAACTGACCCAGAGCTGGCTAGACTGGGAAGAAGGATGCTTTTCAGAGTGGGAGCCAGTGACCCCAATAGCCAGCGGAAGCTTCGAGGTAAAGAAGTCATGTTTATGGGGGTGACACAGGAGTCTGAGGTGGAAAAGATTCTTCTGTTTTCTTCAGTAAACAAATTTACCACAGAAAAACAGAAGAAAACCAAGCCTTCTGGTATCAGTACATGTCAGGAAAAGAAACTCAAGAGAAATCCACGTGTTTCAACTGCATTTCATCATCAAACCGATTCATCATCTACAGCTGACATCTGACGGGGTCTTTGGGTCAATGTTTGTTTCAGTCTGCGCTATTCTGGGAACATGCTGTGTCTTGAAACCGTTCTGTGGATGACTTGCTGCTTTCTACACGGTCACCTTGTTCTCCATGAAAGAAAAGACTCTTCTCTTCTTCTCTTGCTTTAACAAGTGCAACTTTAAATAATAAGCAATCATTGGATCTGACCGTCACCTCCACATTTGAACAAAGGCTTAGAGAAGGGAAAACGCCAGAGAGAGGATGGGAGTGCGGGGTGGGAGTCCGGCCAGATGTTTCTGAGAAGCAGAAGGTTTGGAGTCCTGAGGAGGCATCCAGGGTGGCTGCCAGGCCGCCACAGTGCTGGGACACACGCTGAGCTGAGCTGAGCTGCGTGAGCACCCAGGAGCAGCCTGCCGCATGGAGAGCACCTCCCCCAAGCACAACCCTTGAGGCTTTAACCTTGGGCACCTTCTTCACCTCTGCAGGTGCAGCTTCCACACTTCTACTAAAGGGGGACGCCTATTTCTGAGAGATGACTCACAAAAATCACTCAACAGAGTTTCTGGCAAACAAAGCAATTCAGAAATGGAAGCTCGAGTAGGGAATAACAGTCACGGTGAACACGCACTGCTACACAGCCTTCCCCTTCCCCCTGTGTTTCAGTCCCAGGTTTTCACAAAACCATTTAAAATACCCAAATTCTGGGCCGCCCTGGTGTCTTCAGCAGGTTGAAGCACAGCACTATGAAGCTGTCCACAGCCACTGCAGCAGGAGTTCCATCCCCGGCCAGGGAGCTGACCCTCAGGGCACAGCAGACCTCTCCTGTCTTGCCCGCTGGGCCCCTCAGCAGTGGACTTCACTACATCTGCCTGTTCTGCCCCCCATTCAGTCTCTGGTGAATCCCCTCACTCCCTGCTCCTCTGGCCTGTATACCCCAGTTCTTATATGAATAAATAAATAAAGCTTTTTAAAAAAAATACCCAAATTTGAGCCTGTAAGTCACTATGGATCTACACCAGTGGTTCTCAAACTTGGCTGCTCCCTGGAATCACCTGGAGGGTTTGAAGACTTTCTATTGAAGAAGTACATGCAGAGAGGTCACAGAGGTGCGCGGCTCAGGTAAACTTTGCTGAGTGTTCACACCGGGAGCCAGCATCCAGATGAAGAAACACAGGTCTAAGGCCGTTCTCACTGGTGTGGGCGACCAAATCAGCAGCCACCGGTGACTTCTTTATCCCATCTAAGGTGATGTGTGGGGTGGCCCGTGTTTTGGGTATGATAAGCACAGACATCTGGGATGTCACAGGTACACCTGCTTCCGGTGACACGCAACCTGGGCGCGAGCTCCGGGGACACGAAGCCTTTCACAGATTCCACCGAACAACTGGTTGCGAACCTGCCTGCCGTCCACGGGGAGACGGGCGTTCTGGGGCTCCACCCACCCCGACACACACAAATTTTCTTTCTCCATTTTTCTCCTTTTAGCCACCCTAGCGAATGGGCAATGCTATGACACTTGATTTTCCTAGTGTCCGATGAAGTGAGTAACTTGTCACCTGTTATTTATTGACCACTTAACTACCATTTTTCTCTTTGGTGGTCTTTTTTATAATTGTTAGAAGTTCTTTATACATTCCAAATATGAACTGTCTACTGCATGTAATGGAAAATTCTTAATTTTAATATAATCAATCTAACTATTTTCCTCCTTATGGTTGGTGTGGGGCTTTCAGATTCTTTGGGGCTATCCTGTTTAAGACATCACTACCTACGCTAAGATCATTGAGATATTCTACTATTTTTTTCCCCTTAAAATTTTTTTGCATTTCACCTTCAGATAATCGATCAGAAACCAATTTGTGTGTATCTGAGTTACAAGGTTTTTTCCCACACAGACAATGCCATGATCAACTCACACTGTTTACTAGAATGCCCCCTAACCCCCAACCCACCCCTCCCCCCCTGCCCAGTCTGCACTGCAGTCTGGCTTTTGTCAACAATCAGGTGACCGAGTGTGGGCCTGCCCCTAAATTCTCTTATCTGGGAGCTGTTTAAACATCCCAAGAGCTTTGACAATTAAGACTTTAACTGTCTTTCAGGGTAGGGACCAAGACTTGGTGTTTCCAGAGTTCTCCCAATTATGATGACATGTCACTAAGGTGGAGGGCCACTGGCCTAGATTCTCTAATGTAAATAAGAGTGGACCACCTCCTGCCCTCCCCACAAGGGGATATCCGCGGGGGCAGTGTCTCAAACTACAAACCCTCCCGCCCACACACAAGAGGCCCGAGTTAGTGCAAACCCTACATCCTTCCTGGCTGGGCAATGCTGGCCCACATTCAAAAGCTTGCACAAAAAGCTCGTCTTGGAAGCTGCCGGGTGCCTCTCTGGACCCCCTGAATCAGAATCCCAAACGTTTATGTTGAGGTCGTGGGCGATCTCAAAGTATAGCTAGAGTTTTGGGTCCTGAGTCTAGAACCTACTCCACAGAAAGCCTAAACATACTTACCGTCAGGCCTTCATTATTCTTGCCTCCGAGTGTGTACAGGCTGCCATCGTTGGGATCGGGGAGGAAGGCAGGCCTAGAGATTAAGCAACAGTATCAAGATAAATGACAGCCTAGGGACAGAACAGAACAGCAAAGTCAAGGTGGGCAGGGGTGTGTGTGTGTGTGTGTGTGTGTGTGTGTGTGTGTGTGTAAGACAAAGCAGGTGTGTGTGTGTGTATGTGTGTGTAAGATAAAGCCACCACTGCTCTTTCTCTTTCAGCTCAGGTAAACAGAATATTGCTATGTTGGCTTGCACCCTACTTAGGGGCAAAAAAGCAACCTGCAGAAGGTGATCATTCAGAACCATGAAAGAGCTGATCATCATTTGGTCAAGCATCCGGATAAAGGAAAACTATGTGAAAAGAACCCAGTGAGTCTTCTGCTGTGTTTCCAGGTCAACCATGTAGAGAACATCCACAATGGCTGTTTCTAGACTCGGGTGCATAAACAGGCAGGATAAATCCACCTCTCGTGGTCAACAAACATTTACTTGTAAACTGGAGGCAACTGCAGTGGACCCTGAAAGCCTGACATGGGAGGGTGCCTGCTCAGAGATGTGCCAGGCCCCAGGTCGGCAGCTCCCCAGGAAGCCCCCCTGAGACGCTCTCGGGCAAAGTCAGCCTGCGGAGGATGAACTGTCCTGCAGGAACCCTGTGCTTGGCTTAGATGAACTGGCCTTCTCGCTCTTTAAAATTGAAGGGGCGCTGCGCTATAACGTTATGTTCCAAGTGTTCATCACTGAGAGTCAACGTGCACATGGACCACGTTAAGGTCACCCCCAAAACTCCAGACCTACCGTTCTCCCTACCATTGGCCCCTGTTCCCCGATTTACCTCCTTCTGGTTGCTGCTAGTTGGTTTTAGAGTCCAAACGTTTAATTTTGCTTTATTTAGTACAGCTGTTTTCTCTCTATACACTAGCTAGGAATGAAAACACAATTGGCCTTCTACACCTTAAATGCGTGCTGATGTGTACTCTGAGCAACGAGCTTCGTGGGTGCTGACTGCAGATTAAGGGGAAGGTGGGAGGTACCAAAGCAGATCCGAGACTTACTCTTCCACGTGTGTCGGGACCTGCAGGACTGGATCTGCACAAGAGAAGACAAAGGCATCGTCAGACCAACGCGCACACGCCAAGACCCAGTTGCTGCCAGCTGCAGTGCTCACGCTGCCCTGGCAACTTAACTGTCCCGCACAAGGTGAGGCGTGTGGGAGTGCTTCAGAACACACAGGCCGGACGTCAGCCCTCTGACGGCCGCTGACAGCGCCGAATGAGCCGTCAAGAGAGGCGGCTGTTGCCTGGGGGTGGACGTGGAAGGGCCTGTCACCACCCTGTGGGTCAGGGGCCGCAGTGTCGCTACCTGAGACATCGAGAACTTTGCAGACCCAAATGTTCACCTTGTCAGATGCCTGGAGTGGGGTGACTTTCATGAGGAAAGACAACAACCATGGCTTAAGAATGGATTCTGCTGCTGATATGGGTTTGGCTGAGCGGTAAATGGACACACCCCTCGGGTTGAATATGGCGCTCTTGGGGCCTCCGAGAGTTCATTTTCCTTGATTCCTTTTGACTGACTAATTCCACGTCCGTAAAATGTGGTTCAAACAGAACCCAAAATATAGGAAATGCTTTCTGTGCAAAGATGCTCGGGGCAGTGTTACGAATGACCCAACTGTTCAATAATACGGTAAGTTATGGAAAGTGCACTTGGAAGAAGATCAAGGCTTCTAAAAGGGCTTGTGAAATTTAAAAACATGTGCAAATCTTTATGCAATTATGTTCAGCAGGAAAGATAACATTGTACTCAGAGTTTTCCTGTGGCTAAGAACATCTTCAGTGCCCATGGAGAAAACCAGAAAGGCAAAATGCTCATTGGCACTCATCTCTGTTGGAAGGGTGACTCCCCGAACCTTTCCTGCATTGCTTTTTTTTTTTTTTT